GGTAGATTATTTTTATTACTATCAGTTACAAACAAAATATCTGAGCGAATACAAAAGTATTAAAAAGAGTTCACACTTGGTATGCTTTAAGGAGAATATTATTAAGGGAAAAATATCCTAACACAGAAAAATGAGCTATATTTTAATCTTTAGAATAGTTCATTAGAGAAAGAAACTATTGTATTCACCCTTGCTTCAAAAGAAAATAATAATGACTTTTCACAGTATTAATGGGGTAGCTTATTAGGACATAATAAAGGGAAATCAAGACAATCAAAGTGAACAAAAAGATTGACAACTGAAAAAAGCAGTAGAAATCAAATCAAAGAAAATATAAGTAAGATAGAGAAATTGGAAGGGAAATCAAAGGGTAGAATTTGAGGAAAAAAAAGGCAAGATAAAATAGAGAAAAAGAAGCCAACCCAGACGTGGAAATATAACTTGAGAAGATGAAGTACACAAAGATGGAGCGGGAAGGGTGTGAGAGTAATAAAAGACAAGTTAAAGATTGAAACATGAGAAATTATAACAGAATTATAAAACAAATATGGGAATTAACCCCGGTAGATGGTGATCAATCTTCTTAAGAACTCTATCAGAGCAGTCTGCTCTCTGAGCGCACACCATGTACAGTCTACCTTTTAGGGAGCTAACTGTCTGCATTCGCTTCCATCACTCTCCGCTGGTTTACATTTGCTTCAGCTTCACCGGCACTAGAGGAATCTTTGTATTGGCTGAAGACAGGACGGAGGTAGTGGCAAGTATTCAAGTTTCTATTTCTGCTTCTATTGGCACTATTTGTATCTTCCCATGCAATAGTGAGAACAGAAAGCTTGTGTCTCCAGCAATTTCTGCGCCTTCATTTTTCTTTGGAATTTACTTAATTTTACCTGGAATTATGGCCATATAATGAACACACACACACACACACACACACACACACACAGTCTCTAGACGTGTGGAAGTACAATGTGAGAATGACATTTGCCACAAAGGTACATAGAAGAAAATGGGAGATGGGTGCAATGCAGTGAATTGTTTAACATGGCTCTTGTATCTGTAGCTTTTCTAAAACTTACATCAATTATCTTGGTTTGCATTATGGAGCTGGGTAAGAAAGTGGGAGGAGATACTGATTATATTATATGGTTCAATTGGGTTACTTTAATTTAAAAAGTTTTGTTGGCATATACTTCACATATGAGTATTATTGAAAGTTTTGTCCTATCACCAATTACCATGTGTCAATTGTATCTAGTTACTTAAGGGTTTAATCTGTACAAGTCAACAACTCATGTATTCTAGTCTGAAGTCAGCCTACACTTTTTTCTCCCTACACCTTTTCTCCCATGCAAGTACTAACCAGGCCTGTCTGGCTTAGCTTCTGAGATCAGAGATCATACATGTTCAGGGGGTATGGCTGTAGACAATTTCCTTTTATTCAATTGTGTTTTAAGTTCAATACGATTGGCTAAATTAATGACACTATCAATAGAGTTACTCGAGGGGCATGATTTACAATGTTCTCTACCGTAAAATGCTAATGTATCTAAAGTTAGCTAGAGGCATCTATATTATTTCTTATACCATGGCTGTACCAAGAGATCACTGGAGATATGGATGCTAGAGCAGAGTGTGGTGAAGAAATCAGATGGTGTTCAACTCTCAGGAAGAATGGTGTCTGAGGTCTTAAAGCCATATTTTAAAACAAACAGCCATCTAAGTGAGGTGTCAACTAAGTCTACATGGAAGAAGCATACCAGCCTGTGTGATCCAAAGATTGTAAATAATAAAATCCAAGTCTGAAGTAACGTAGGTCGTGAGCACTAGGTTTGTAAAAGGCTATGGATGAGAGTGGAAGTCCCAAAACCTTTTGTTGGGTCGCCATATGGATTACGCCTCTGGTGAATGCCCTCTGACCATAGTTGAGTGAGGTGGATAGGCTGTGGTCTCAGACAGAGAGCATAGTAAAGTCAATTATGGCAGGTATATTTAAATTAAAATGTAATACCTTATCATTTGATCTCCTTTGTACCCATTTTAAAATGGTTTCGTTTTGAATATTTTCTGCTTCCTTATTGATTGAAAAATTTTCTGATTTGTCTAGTCATTGTTGCTTGACTTTTTACTTGTTGACTTGTTTGCTTCCTGTTGGTGTGTTGTATGATTTTCTGAATATGAAATCTGGGATTGGTAGATCTTTAGAGAGAGTAACCCCTTGATAATTACCTAGGGGCATAGCAAGGGAGGAGGAGAGGTGGAGTAGGGAGCTAACAACAATAAGTATGAGAAGAAAATGTTCTGAAATTGTGGTGATGCACAAATCTCAGTATGATCGAACAATTAAATGATATGCTATGTAAAGTATATGCCAACAGGATTAATTTTGATTGCCGTCCTTCTAGTAATCAAATCAGGCATTTGAAAGCAGGAATGGGGAAAACACACTACCAGCAAAAGAGGGAAGTCAGGAGTAGAGTGTACTTTTTGGTCTTTGAGATTTTTGTGCATTGAATCTTCTTGATCTGGGAGATAGTTGCTACCTCAGAGGCGTGGTAGAAGAGTACAGCAGCAGCTGCAGTGGACCCAGGGACCCGAGCATGAGACAAAGTCATGGCTTTCCCAGCCCACCAAGCAAGGAAAGCTGAATGCTTTGGGGCAGGAGGCAGCTTGGAGTGGGGTGTCTCTGGCCACTGGATTGAGGGAGCTGCCTTTGCAGACTACCAAGCTAGAGCTGACTGCCTTCAGGTTGAGTCCTCTCGCGGAGTGGCATGCCTTTGGGACCTTGATTGGAAGTTTTAAAAGAGCTTTGAAACATTGTCTGAGTGGAGCAGAGACCAAGCCAAGAGGCTGAGGGTCAGAGAATCCTGCCTCCTGACAGAGCAGATAGACTGTGCTGACTGAATGACTGCATCCTGAACAATCTCACATGAACTGTAACCTGTTAACACCCTAGTTAACCTCAGAATCATGAGTATTATCTATGAGTTCTGTGTGGCCATTGTAGTGAATTATCAAACCAAGTAGATAATTGCACTGTAGGAGACAGAGTAAGAAAAATAAAGAGTGCTGTGAGATGCAGAACAGTAGGACAGCAAAGATGTTAGATGGTAATGAATCTCATCTACTAAGGACCCAATAGTATCAAAATACCAATGATCAAGAAGATGGCACACAAGACCAGTCAGTATTTTGTTCTGGTATAGGTAGGTTGACTATGAGCCTGAGCCAACTTGATGTCAATCAACAAGAACAGTAACAAGGACTTCATAGGAGGAAAGAAGTGGAATACAGGAAATAAACAAAGGACAAGGTGAAAAATCCATCAACTATTAACTACAAAAATACTTTGAGTGTGAAGTAAATTAGTGTAGAAGATATACACAATTTGAAGAGTCTTGACTTCTTTTCTAACAACTAGTTGTATACACAGAAAGGATAATGAATTTAAAGGCCAATCAATGAATGACAAAAATGAAAAAATGAAAAAAAGGTAACAGAAATGCTGCTTGAATGGCACCACCGGTAAATTTTTGTTCTTCAGTTTTGAGTAGGAAATAATGAGTGTGCTTTCTTGCTCGCTGTGTGTTTATGACATATATATATTTATGTGATAGAAGTATCTCAAAATTCCCATTATATATTAATATGTTAATTAATCATGGGCTTAAATATGCAAAGGGTAACATTTTGTTGTTTCGGATAATTGTGCCTTTAAATGACATTGTATAGTGTTCTGTTGAGATATTTTAGACTTTTATTTTTCTCTTCTTTATCTTTCATTTTGTTTTTCTGTTCAGTTATAGTGAATGAACCAACTCTTCTGTCTTTCCTCTGTGCCTCAGGACACTGTTTTATAACAAGGAAGCAATGTAACTGAATGCATGCAAAATATTGTATTGTACCCTCCTTAATCAGGACTATCAAGCTCTAAAATTGTTCATTTCAATTATAAAACATTTTTTAAAACACATCATCGACAAACACATGTACATATTTATGTATTTTATGTTTATTATATTATATTATATATACAATGTTTATATATAAATCATAAAATTTTCAAAATATAGAACTTAAAAGATATAATTACATATGTATGAAAATTCTATAATTATATTCTTTTTTCTACCCCCCCTACTATTATTTTCATAACCAATAAATAATCATGTGCACCCCCACCAAGGTAAATATTACTAACTTGGAATTACTGTGCAGGTAAGTCTCAGATCCTGATTTGATGTCAGAGTGACAAGTATTTTTTTCTTTCAACCAGTTTGATGCATGATAGAGATAAAAGGAGATATTTAGAGTAAGGGCAACTTCTTTTTTATTCTTTTTAGACCATCATTTTTCTGATACATATGGGAAATGTATAATTTTGTATAGCACAATAAATTATATGTATGTGTATATGCACAGCCATTACAAGAAAGAAATGAAACGTTTCTGTCACGTTAAAAAGCTCCATCATAACGCTGCTTTCGTTTTCCTCCCCACGTTCAATAAACATCAGAAGACCTCAATAAATGGGGTTAGTTTTTTTTATCTATTAGGAAAATTTTAGTATTCCACAAGCAAATCAGAAGCAAATCCAAGTCATGGGACTCCAGAGTCCCACAAGAAAGCACAGGATGGAGGAAAAAGGGAGGCGTGGGGGCCGAGGTGTTGCAGTCGGAAATCTTGAAGAATAAGGACAGATATTTCTTAGCCTGTGGGAGAGTCATGGTCTACTATGGAAATGGCATATCCTGCTTTTAGCTCAAGAAGAACTCTGGTGTAGAAGCTCCACTGTAGGTGAAAGAGAAGGAAATAAACTCTCTGTTCTTTCATGTTCTGTAGGTAAAGGAGATGGAGATTAGAAACAGCACGGTGGTGACAGAATTTATCCTTATCGGTCTTGCTCAGTCTCAAGATATTCAGCTCCTGGTCTTTGTGCTGATCTTAATTTTCTATCTCATCATCCTCCCTGGAAATTTCCTCATCATCTTCACCATTAGATCAGACCCTGGGCTCTCAGCCCCACTCTACTTCTTCCTGGGAAACCTAGCTTTTCTGGATGCGTCCTATTCCTTCATTGTGGCTCCCAGGATGCTGGCGGACTTCCTCACGGAGAAGAAGGTGATTTCCTACAAAGGCTGCATCACCCAGCTCTTCTTCTTGCACTTTCTTGGTGGAGGAGAGGGGCTACTTCTTGCTGTGATGGCCTTTGATCGCTACATGGCTATCTGTCGGCCTTTACACTATTCAACTCTCATGAACCCTAGAGTGTGTTATGCACTACTGTTGGCTTTGTGGTTTGGGGGTTTTGTCCACTCCATTATCCAGGTAGTTCTCATCCTTCGCTTGCCCTTCTGTGGCCCAAACCAGCTGGATAACTTCTTCTGTGATGTCCCACAGGTCATCAAGCTGGCCTGCACGGACACCTTTGTGGTGGAGCTCCTAATGGTCTTCAACAGTGGCTTGCTCACGCTCCTGTGTTTCTTAGGACTCCTGGTCTCCTATGCAGTCATCCTCTGCCATGTGCACAGGTCTTCTTCCGAAGCAAAGAACAAGGCTCTGTCGACATGCACAACTCACATCATTATTATATTTCTCATGTTTGGACCTGCCATCTTCATCTACACCCGGCCTTTCAGGGCCTTACCTGCCGACAAGGTGGTTTCATTCTTTCACACAGTGATCTTTCCTTTGATGAACCCTGTGATTTATACTCTTCGTAACCAGGAAGTGAAATCGTCCATGCGGAGGTTATTGGGTAGACATGTAGTCTGTTAGATGAATTTGATAAGGAACCAGAGCTCAAGAAGGAGGAATTCCTGCAGGAAATCATTCCTTCATTTAGCAATAGATTAGTCTTACTGAATGCTTTTTATTTGTCAGGTGCCTACAATAATACCTGACAAGTGGGAAACGTTCAATAAAAATGAGCATTTGTAAATGAATGAATGATTTTCAGCTGAAAGGAGTGGACTCTCTGAGAATGGATCTGCTTTTTGTTTTGTCTTAGACAATGGAGAAAGAGTGATGCAAAAAACAAACAAAAACGGTATTTACAGAATATGAAGAAAATAATGATTAGAATACAGTGAATATGTATTAAATTTTGTGTGACTGGCAGGGTCAAAATATATGGGATCTTTTAAGTTGAGATAAGGAGTTTGATTAAATTCTAATTGAAACAAGAATCCATTTTTAAGTTTTAAAGTAGGAGAATGAATCTTCTACAATCGTTCATTTTCTCTGCGGCTTAGGCCAACAGCGTCAAGATTCTGGGGAATGTTCAATAAGCCATAAAACATCAGTAAGAGCCAAATAGCCTGATGAAGTTATGTTTTGAAAGAAACATTTTTTTTCCTATTCACAATTTGGCAGAATGTTAAAAAAGGAAGAGAAGGTTTCATGGGAAAAATATAAAATTATTTCATTTGACCGCCCCACCGCCCCACTGAAATAAAACAAAAACACTTCATGATTGTACTAACAAGTTTACACAGATCCTTCCTGGATTTTAAATCTTCCCAAAATTTATTTCACTATGATTATGATCCCCCAAATCATGTTATTCTAGTTATTTTAAATATAATGGTACTTAATGTGGAAAGAGGAATCTTGGTGGCCTAGTGGTTCCATGTTGGGCTGTTAATTGCAAGGTCAGCAGTTAGAAACCAGCAGCAGTTCTGCAGGAGGAAAATGGGGCTTTTAATTCCAGTAAAGAGTTACAGTTTTGAAAACCCAGTAGCAGGTTTGCTCTTTTTTATGGGGTTCCTAATGAGTCTGCACCAATTCCATGTCGGTTGGTTTAAGGTGGAAAATTCAGTACTTATAAAATCTTTGGAAGGGCAGAAGGTCATTTACTATGTAGGTAATCCGAAGGTGATTACCAGAACAAGCTTGTACAACTAGGTTGCCAAGTGACCTGCCCCTTCAACAATCAATAACTCACTGCCACTGAGTCAATTCTGACTAGTGGAGACCCCATCAAGACAGGCAGAACTGCCCTTGTGGCTTTCTGAGGCTGTTTATGGGAGTCAAACTTCTTATCAAACTGCCTAGTCAAAAGGTCAAAGAGTGATGAAAATCTGCCTACCACATATAGATGTGCAGATTGTTTTCTGCACACTGATGAAATGTCCATGTATGTTGAATCGCATGTCTCTCCTGACCCCAAATTGCAGAAGGGAGAATCCCTAGTAAAAATAACTTTAAAAGCCTTCACTAACAATATTTGTATAAATGTTTATATAAAAGCCTTAACTACCAATGTTTATATAAAAGATGAAATGTTACCTTTAATACAAAAAGGACATTTATAAGAAAATAGTAAAAATATTTGTATTCTCAAAGAAGGCATGAGTGATAAAAGCCCATAGGAAATTCAAAAAGGAAAACATGAAAAGTCGTATCCTCACAAACAAACCATAAGAAACCACCACTGATTCTCTTTAGCATTTTAAAGAATGTTCCTTATGAAAACTAGACAAAATAAAAACAGTATTTTTCTATAAGTCTATCAAAGTTGAATGTAGCAAAGATATCTCATTATATTGAACTCTCCTGAGAGGCATGACCTTTTGCAACTTCTATACCTGTGTTCAAGTGATTCATCTGCTATGGGGAGATTGTCAGTGGTTTTGTTATAGACTGACATACTTTGCAGGGATGAGGCGAAATAAGTTAAGTTTTTAATATCAGGTGAGGTGTATACAGAGTAGAAGCTGAAAAAACTTCCCCCCCAAAATATACCCCCCCCCAATTTCTTCTCATCCCATACTCATATCAATAATTTTGTCAGAATAAGGATAGCAGAGGAAGAGAGGAAAATCAGAGCGAATTTACCCTGTTTTAGTCTCTCTTGCAGGAGTTCTGGTAGGTTAGTGATTATGCACTCAGCTGCTAAGCAGAAAGTAAGTTTCAAACCCACCAGCCACGCGGTGGGAAGAAGACGAAGCAGTCTGCTTGTAAAGGTTTTAGTCGGAGAACCCTATAGGGCAGTTCTACTCTGTCCTGTCAGGTTGCTAGGAGTCAGAATTGGGTTTGGTTTGGGGGCTTAGTCAATTTTGCAATGTTTAGATGATATGTTGTTTTCAGATTAGAATACAAAGAGAAACAAACTGATATGAACTGTAATTCAAATGTCTACCACTTAAATACTGAGAAGATGAAGTATTTGAGGTCCTGGGTGGCAGTGATGCCAGATTAGACTAATGGTTTGTGCTTAGACTCATCATAGTTAAATCCAAATTATTAATGATGATGCCAAGTTCCAGCTAAGCTGGACCTTTGGAGGACCCTGAGTGATTAGATTAAATCCTCATTCTAACTTTTAGACAGAAGAAAAGGATTTCGTTATCTAAATAGAATTTAAAAAATTTTAATCAATCATGGTATATTTTATACAAATGGTTAAAATAAAGTAAAACTTAGAAGTCATGCAAAAAAACAAGGAAGAATATCAGATAATTAAAAAATGTTAATAGAAATAGGCTTATAGTTGGAGTACATTATTATATAGAAACTTTATAAATCTATTTAAATATCTTGAATAAATGATAGATAATAGATAAATGCAAGTTGAGTACACAAATGCACACTCCAAATATAAGGGATTTGCTAGAACTGAAAATGACAGTATTTAAAAAATTCTTAAATGAGTTAAAGAATAATTTTTACTTGATAGAAAAATGAATAATAATTGTGAAGATGGGTTATTAATATAATAAAAAAGAAGGACAAAGAGAACTGACTTGAAAACATGAGCAGTGTTAATACGCTGTGACGCAATATCAAATCATTTCAACATATGTGTAATTGGAATTTTAGATAAAGAGGAGAAAGAGAATGAAAAAAGGAAATATTAGAAGAAGGTACCACTAAATTTGTTTTTGAAATTTCATAGCAATATCAACCCAGAATCCCAAGAAACTCAGTAAAATCCAAGAAACTTCAGCCCTGCATGCAATGTGTAACACATTCTAACCAGAAATTAAAAGACAATAAAGCAGCCAGAGGAAAAAAAATCAGAAGAACAACAGTAAGAGTCATAGCAGATTTTTATCAGAGACAAAACAAGCCAGAAGTCAATGAAATGGTATTTTAAAAGTGCTTAAAGAAAATAAACTGTTCAGCTCGACTTCTATATACAGTAAAAGTAAAAATGATGAAGTCAACATTTCGATATTCAGAGAAGCTGAGAAAGAACTTGTTGGCAACAGACTACAATAAAGGATGTGCTGGAGGAAATTCATGATGAAGAGAACATATAC